TGTTTGCCTTTACCTTTGTCTCTGCCCATTCTTTTATTTCAGTCTTTCTGCATCACTTTGAAAAATATCTTTTAATGAATATTGCTCCATAGTATTTTTAAATTTTTAAAATAGGTTAGTCAAATACATTTGTTTATTGACATGACAGATTTGCTTATATTACTGTTATGTATTTGATAGCTTTAAAATATTTTATTATTTTACATGCTTCATTTTTGTGTACAATTCTGATATTTACAAGAGTTTGTAATTTTCCTCTGTTGGTTAGCTTTATAAGTATAACCTTAACATTATAAATTTATAATTAAAATTAAAACATTGCCTTTAGTATGTAATTTCGTGAAGGAATATCTCTTATATCCATTTGGTAATTCTCTTTCCACTCTGTTTTATCTGCCATCTGACTGAATTTAATAATAACTCTCTCATGCTTATGTTCGCACTAATGAATATCATTGTTTTTCCTTTCCTTGATTTGTCAACTCTAAAGCATACTTTTGAACTTCTTGTTGTTATAGAAGCAGCAATAAGTGAGCATACTCTCTGCTCCCATGTTCTTTCTTCTCTCTGCTGCTCCCATTTTTATTTTTATTTTTTTTTGCTACTTGTACCCCATCCACATTTCCAGGGCCTCTGGAGCTTGCAGAGGGCAAAAACCCCATCCTGGTTTTCTCCTTCTCTGCTTCACAGGCATCTTGGCCCAACACTACTGCCTTGATCTGCCAGGTGAATTGCTGCTCCTCCACCCACTTTGGGCTCCAAGATTGTTTTGACGTCTTTGGTCCTCTGTGTTTCCTTTCCTCCCCTCTTTGTTCCTATATATTTATACTGTTCAATTCCCATGCTGTCATTTTATGGCATTTTGAGAGAGTGGAGTACAACATGTTCATGCTGTCTTCCACATTTAGCCAGCATCCCCAGATAACTCCCAAATAACTCATCTTGAGGAAAAAAGTACTTTGCATTAAAATTTCAGGGTAGAAATTTTACATGCTATATAATCTCAGCCATACAAAATATGAGTTTTTTTATTTTATAATTCCCCTGCCTAGTTACTAGCTTCTGATTGATATTTTTTCAGTATTCTACATTTCATGCAATAGTCACTTATTTTTAAAAATTATTTTGTTTTTAAAATGTTTTATTAGGGTATATGAAATGCATAACAAAAATGCATGTGAGACATCAATTCACTGTCTTAAACTGATTGCTTGTGTATTAGTCAGCTCTGGTTGACATAACAAAATATGGTAGGTTGTGTGGCTTGAAATAGCAATTTGTTTTCTCACAGTTCTGGAGGCTGAAGTCTGAGAATGAGGAATCAGCAGAGCGAGGGGCTGGAGAAGGCCCCTTTCCTGGCTTGTGGGTGACTGTCTTCTTCCATGTCCTCTCATGGCAGGGAGAGAACTCTGGGATTTCTTTCTCTCCTAAGAGCAGTTTTGTTGGTTAAAGGCTCTTCCCTGGTGACCTCAATCTCTCCCTTAATGGCTCTGCCTCCAACACAGTACCATGGCGGCGGGGGGGGGGGGGTAGAGTTTCAACATATGAATTTGCAGGGGGGACACAAATCAGTCCATAGAAACTTGTGTAGCAACCACCCATGTCACACAAAATGGAACATTGCAAGCACTTCACAGCCCTTGCCCGATTGCAGTCTCCCTCTTCTGTCCTCTTGGGTGTGGGGGGGTCTTCTTTTCCTAATGCTTGATGCGTTTTCTTGCCTTATTTGAATTTTTTACCTTCTAAGTATGCGATGGTATTCCCTCAAAATTCATGTTTTGTAGGCTTAATTCCTCAATTCCTATATTAAGGCTTGGAATTTGGCCTTGGGAGGTGATTAGGATTAGATGAGGTCACGCTAATTCCTATGATAGCGTTAGTGGCTTTTGTAGAAGAGGAAGAAAGCTGAGCTGCTGCACTTGTCCTGGCTCACCATGTGACACCGTCTGCCATGTAATGATGTCTCAGTTTCTGCACAGATGCTGGCACTTTGCTCAGACTTCCCAGCCTCCAGCTGTGAGTTAAATAAACATCTATGATTTATAAATTACTCAGTGTCTGGTAATTTGTTATAGAAATAGAAAGAGGACTAAGATGACCCATATGAAATAATTTTGCTTGTTTTTGAATTTTGTATAAATGGAATCATATTTAGATACTCCTCTGTGTCCAGCTTTTTTGGTACAATATTATGTTTTTAAGACTCATTCTTCTTCTTGTATGGAGCTATTATTTATTCACTTTCATTGCTGTGTGTTATCATATATAAGAATATAATGAATATTTAATGTATTTGAAGATTTATGGATATTTGGGTTGCTTCCAGTTCCTTGTAGCTATATTTTGGTGCCCACAAGTACATACTTTGATTGAGTGTAGGTGCCTCAGAGGGTAATTAGAGGAACATGGTGTATATGTGTCCACACCTTTACTCCACAATGTCCACTGCTAGCCAAAGAGGTTGCCCAAAACCTACCCACTGCCCGCTAGCAGCATAGGCATTTCATTGCTCCATATCTTTCACCATTATTGGTATTGCTACAGTTTAAATTTCTCTTTATATGATAAGTGTATATTGATCTCTTAGTGTGATTTTAATTTGCATCCCTTGATAAAAAATATTAAGAAAAACCATGTGCTAATAGACCATTTGGATATCTCCTTTTGTGCAGTGCCTGTCCAAATTTTTGATCACTTTAAAATTTATTGCTCTGCCATTTTTCCAGTTGGTTTGTGGGGTTCAGCAGTCTGAATAGAAGCACTATTTTGATATGTGCTATCACAAATATGTTCTACTCAGTAAGCATTCTTCTTTATACTCTTAAAAGCTGTCCACTCATAAATGGAAATTCTTAATTTTAATATACTGACATGTATCAGTCTTTTCCTCTATGGTAGCGTTGCTTGTGTCATATGTGATAAAACATTACCTCACCTGGTCATAAGTTCATCCTCCTTTGGTTTTTTCCCTTTGAAAAAGTGGTACAAAGTTGGCCGTTTGATGTCATTGCAGTCCATTGGGACTCCTAATTCTTCAGCATGAAGAAGAATGTCCTCCCTCACCTTCTGTGGTGCCACCTTTAACACAAATTGAATGTCTGCATATGGGCTGGTCTGTTTGTGACCTGACTGATCTCACACCAAGGAAACTGTCTGAATTATTAGAGTTTTACAGTAACCCTTGACAGCTAGTGCAGTGAGTTCTCTGATCTTGTTTTTCTGCCTTAAAAGTGTCTTGGGTTATAATTTGCTCATTGAATTCCCATGTAAATTTTAGAGTCACTTTTAAGAGATTTTGATTAGGAATCATGCTCAGTTAATTAGTTATTTGTGGAATTTTTATAATATTGAGACTTTGACTCCAAGAGTGTAACATTTCTTTCCAATTTATTGGGTTTTCTTACTTATTTTACTCAGTGCCTTTTATAATTTTTCATGTAGAAATCTTACTTGTGGATTGATAATCTTATTCCTACATAGTGATATTTTAAATGCCGGTGTAGATGGTATTTTAAAAACCTGTCTTGTGTCCAGCTTATTGCTAACGCATAGCTATATAATTGATTTGTGTTTATGAATTCATACCCAGCTACCCCATGCCATCTTATTAATTTTAACAATTTATCTCTAGATTACTTTGGATATGTTGTGTTCACAATATTATTATCTGTAAATTATAACATGTTGAGTGCTTTTCTTATTCTTGCACATTTTATTTCTTTCCTTTGCTTTACTACACTGACTAGGACCTTTGCAAAGTTGAACTGATGAAAGCAGACATCTCTGTCTTTTTCTTTTGGTCTCAAAGAGAACTCTTTCCATGTTCACAGTTAAATATGGTGGTTGGTACTTTTTGAAGAATGAATGCCCATTATCAGAGTGGAGTAACTCCACTCAATCCCAACTTTTATAAGGGCATTTAGATAAAAACTGGAGTTGAAATTTATTAGGTGATTTTTCAGCCTCAATGAAGATAGCCACATGCTTGTTCTCCTTCATTTTATTAATAGAAATAGAACATCTTCATTATCGTGGCATGTACTGCTGTGATAATTACTTTAGTTCTGTCTCAGATTTGCTCCTGCCTCTTTCAGAGTAGGCCTCCCCTGGGCATCATTGAGTGTGTGTGCTGGCAGGGAGCAGGGAGGCCTCAGCTGCCCAGGGCACGCAGTCTGATGAAATCAGACCCTCTGGGCACCTGTATTTAAAAAAATCCTCCAATGTGCAGACAAGGTTGAAAGGTACTAATTTCTTTCTTTTTTTTCTTCCTCTGCTTTTGTTTCTGCTTTTTGAACTCAGGGCTTTGCTTTTGGTAGGCAAACACTCTTATCACTTAAGCCATGCCTCCAGTCCTTTTGCTCTGCTTATTTTGGAGATAGGGTCCTGCTTTTTGTCTGTGCTGGTCTGGACCATGATACGTCTATTCCGGGCTTCCCACAGTAGTTGGGATGACAGGTGTGAACCACCATGCTTAGCTTTTCTTCCGTTCAGATTGGGGTCTCTCAGACTTTCCCCTGAGCTGGCCTGATGCCATCAGTCTCCTATGTAGCTGAGATGACAGGTGCACCACTGTGCCCAGCTATTGTTGAGATAGGGTCTCACAAACTTTTTGCCTGGGCTGGACTTGAACTTTGATCTTCTCCGTCTCAGCTTTCCAAATAGCGAGAATGACAGGTGTGAGCCACCAGTGCTCAGCCCCTTCTTTTTAGCCTGGGCTGGACTTGAATTCTAGATCTTCCTGCCTCAGTGCCTGAGTGCTGAGATTATAGACCTGAATCATCACACCCAGTCAATACCCGCCTTCCTGAAGCTGAAAATCATATGTGTGTTTATGAAATGAAGTACACAGAAGAAGAAACCTAATCATTACAAAATCAAATAGACCATAAAATTCAGCATTACCCAAAGGCAAGATAAATAAAAGCTAAAGGCCACCAAGGGAAGAAAGAGAAGAGGGCAAGAACAGAAGAAGGCACAATAATGATAGCAAATGTACTCACTCAAGTTTCTCTGGAAGTTCATTTTGGGTCATGAACGCACAATTGACCAGAATAGTGATGGTAATAAATACAGTGAACCACCTGAAAGGCTGTGTTAAGGAAACACTCAGTCACCATGCCACCATGATGGCATTTGGGGCCACCTTAATGCTCAATGAGTAACTTCATAACTCAGCTAACATCAGATTTATAGTCTGTCACATAATAACTGCTGACATGTACTAAGTGTACAACCTGGGCTGAGAGCTCTGCCTGCAGAATTTCTAAGAACACTAACCCACAGGTGGTTATTATCACCTACAGTTGGATCTGAGCAAACAGGATAACAACTTAAAGAACTTTTCTGGGTCATGTAGCCAGTTAACCATGGTGCTGAGATGAGACTCAGATCTGTCAGACAGCAACCCTGGACAACAGGGAAGGCTTTTGTTTCACTATCCAAGGTGGCCTGTCTGAAAGACAGAGAGGTGAAGAGATGAGTGAAGGGGCCCAGGCTTCCGCAGGGAGGGGATCAGTTTAGTCAGATCGTTTTCCTCACTAGCTGAGGTCAGCCACACTAGGAAATGGGTATCAATGTGGAGTCAGTGGATATATTACAGGGAAGTGAAATGCTGCCTCTAGAAGAGAATTCCAAGCAGGATTAAGCTGTGCAGAGACTAGGCAGGGGAGTCCCAGAAGGGGAAGGAGACTTCAAAAAGAAGGTGCCTGGAACTGAGTGGAGAGATGGGAATAAATGTTGGAGGAGAGAATCCAAAGACAAATTTCTCCCACAAGGACATTTCCTCAGGACTAGCTGGGCCCCTAGCAGTCTTTCCTAGGGAAAAAGAAACCAGAGGGGAAATCTGACCTGCAGAGAGAAGATGGCCCTCTTCTTTCATCATTCCATCTTGAGCAGAAGTATTTAAATCCATTTTGGTTTTCTGTAAATGCCTTTAATGTGCTTTGTTTTATGGTTACTTAGGAACACATCTCTTTTGAAAGGGGAAATACTACTAATTTAACAGCATTTTCCTGTTGAATTACAATTAAATTAAGAAATATATGCACATAAGGGGAAATTTAACCCAAGGATTAAATTAAAATCCTATCTCCAATTCTGTAAACTCTTTCAGAAGCTATATGGCATCTTAGGTATAAAAATATTGATGAAAACCTTCATAGAAAATTGATTGGGATTATAAATATTGGAGTAGTATTAATAATAAGATTCTAAGGATCCCATACCATAAAGAATATTTTTTGGGGCTGGAGTTGTGAAAGTGATGGAATTTAGGTATGTAACTGCAGACTTTCATGAGGAGGAGACCCCTTGGCAGGTTTTCTGTCCAGTTCTGACTTCGCCGAGCAATTATCTCATCAGATCTCAAGATGAAAAGAATATTCACTGATCACTTGATTCTTTAGAGGGATTTTATTTCTAATCAGTCATTTCTTACTTATCTAGATGTAATTCAACCAGGATCCATAGAGAGGAGTTTATACATTTGCTATTTCTCTTTATTTGCAATTTCTGTGTATGTATTTTTAAAAAAGCAACAACTCTCCCCAGTAGAGATGACACACTGAAAGAATAATTACCCTGATTCATTTGCATTAGCTGCCTACCTTCTCATTGCAGATACTGCTCTAAGCAGTAGACAGGCTGGGCCTCTTTAACTAGCCAGAGACTTTGGACAATTTATTAAATGCCTCTGAGTGTGGATTTTCATTATCTATAAAATGGGATTGCTAGTCTCTATTTCTAAGGCACCTATACCTATGACACTGTTGACACTTAGGAAGTATTTGGCAAATGGGAGCCTGTTATTAAGTATTCTTCAGAAGAATCAGGAAATCCAAGGTTCAATTTAGAGTATGTAATTCCCAGGCTAGCAATAAAAATGAGCGTGAAGAGAAGATAGAGTGCACCTGAATCAAGCAGTGAAGTTTCACATGGAGTGTGCATCTGGCTCTGGGCCAGGCTTCCTAGCTCAGGGAGAACTGTCCAGCAGTCCCTCAAACTGTCCCATACCGCAGGAGGTGGAGTGGTTGAGTGGGGGCTCCTTTTAACCGAAGCCTCCGAAAGGAGGCTCCCATATGCCAGGCAACTGAGTCACCAAAGAAGATCCTTGGAGGAGGCCAAGTCCACCAAGTCTTTTGACTACTAGTTTGGCCTGAGGGAGATGAAACTAAACAGAAGTGAAGGCAACTTCTGAGGTGATACTGAACGTGACCAGCGAGACCCTAATTGTTCTCTTCCTAGAGCAAGAACTTCAGGCTGCTGACATTTTTAACCTGCTGCTAGATGGGGAGTAGCCTGAGACATTCGCAGTGCCCCATAACCAGTGAGGTCCCACTGAGACAATTTGCGCACTGCCTGTCATGGTCTGCTCTCTGTGCCTTTGGGTGATTTAGCTCTTTGCATGGCCAACGCCAGTGTAACAACGCATACGTGGCTTATCTACCCACAAAGCCTTGGAGTTCTCTGCTGGTCAAGATGTCATGGGGAAAGCAGGCCACACACAATGGTGAGGGTGAGCAGGACATCAGAAAAACTCCCGTCACAAAGAGGGCATTTTCAAACTCTTTCACAGCTGTGTCCTGGTCAGTCTGGCCCACCTGTGGACTGGGAACTTTTCCTCTGTCTTGTTTCCATTTAATGACGTCTTTATCTCAGGATTCAACTGGGGGAAAGCTCTAAAGAAGCTTAAACAGGGATGGGGCCCAATTCCAAATGAGGGAGAAGCAACTGTGCAAAGGATATGAGTGGACAGACACTTGGACGGCTGTTCTTCTGATCAGGTTGAAGGGACTGAATAGCCACAAGGCCCGGGTGGCACTAAACCGGGAAATGGTCCTTCCTTTGTTCAGCACCATAAATGTCTAGAACAAAACAAAACAGAAGTGGATGTCCAATGAGAACCAGGAATCTTGCACAGCCATTCTGTGAACATGTGTGGTGTCATCTCAGGCTTGTGGGCAAGAAGGGCTTTGGAAACCATGCATCACGGACAGCCAAAGGGAGGTGTGGAGAATTGGAGAGGATCCTGGACTAAAGCCATAGCCTCACCCTCCATGTGCGGTGACTGTGAACCGAGGTGAGCCTGCTGACAGTGCTCAGCAGACAGGTGACTGACCCCAGGGCTGGTGAGGTGCATCAAGCTGGGGGGGGGTAGGAAAGATTTTGGAAGCTAGGTAGTGTTCAGGTTGCATTTAATTCTGCTTCTGACTGGAGGACTATCCCTGGTCTCTTGTTCTTCCTTCTGTGCTCCAATTCCTGGGTCTCTGCTCCTAAGGCCTCTCCTGGATCATTCATCTGAATATTTAGGAGGACATGGACTCTTGGCAAGGGATGGGAGGGAGAAATATATTCCAATGTTTTAAAAATTTTCTCTAACCATATTTGAGATGGTTGATTCCTACACTGCATAACGCCCAAACAAGTACTCACTGTGCTTCAGAATGCAGAACATCTAAGATATACAGCAGGTATCATGGAGCACCTCTTGTTTAGAGGGGTTCTCAGTTATTTTGTTTTTTGTTTTTAGGTACTGGAACTTGAACTCAGGGCCTCACATTTGTAAGGCAGGTGCTCTACCACTTGAGCCATGCCCCTCAACCCTTTTTGCTTTTTAGTTATTTTTTAGGTAGGGTCTTTTGTTGGGACTGTCCTCTGACCATGATCATCCTACCTATCCCTTCCATATAGCTGTAATTACAGATATGTACCACCATGCCCAGTTTGTTTGTTGAGGTGGAGTCTTGATAACTTTTTCTCTGGACTGTCCTCAAACCATGATACCCCATCTCCGCCTCCAAGCAGCTGGAATTACGAGTGTGAGCCACTGCACCCAGCCTCAAACATTTTGATTTAAAAAATGGTTACTCTAAATTAATGAGGACTCTAAGGAGTTCTTGTTTATGTTTATGCTAAATGTGTGTGTTCATATATCACAATTGAAATTTTACATATGTGTACACACATGTACATATATGCATATATATCTGTAATATATAATATACCTATTTATTGTGGCTTGGATCTTATTTGCTGCCCAGAGACCATGTGTTAAAGGTTTGGTTGCCAGCTTGTGGTGCTACTGGGGGTAGTTTGTACCTATAAGATATGAAGCTGAGAGCAAGGAAGTTGGGTCACTGGGTGTGCCCCAAAGGAGATATGGGACATTAGACCCTGTCTCTTTTTTTGTGCTTCCTGGCCACCACGAGGTGAGCATGTTTCCTCTGCCATGTGTTTCCACTATAAGGTACTGTCTCACCCAGGCCAAAAGCAATGAGGCCAGCAACCAAGGACTGAAAACTCTGAAACCAAGAGGCAAAATAAACATTTCTTCTTTTTGAATTAATTTTCTCAGGTATTTGGTCACATAAGTATACACACGTTACATATATGTATCTGTGTATAAATATGTATATGCCATACTAATGTGTATGTATGTAAGATTTGGGGAATTTTAAAACACAGAGACACACAGGCATGTGTCCTAGTGCCTCTTCGAGGGTTGACACCATTCCTCATCAAAAGCCTCTGTGTTCATCACTGCATGCTCCTGGGAGAATGTGAGTGAAAAGGACAGATGACATTGAAGTATTGTTACAAAATAATTTCAACTTCATGAACCCACAAAGAGAGTTTGGAAGACTCCAGGGATTCCAAGATCCCTGGCTTACATCATCCTGATTTTTGTTCCCTTTGGCCTTTTCTGCTCCCTTAACCTCGAGATCTCTGTTCTCTACCTGCAAAGAGGGCCAACACCTCTGGGGGCCCCAGGCCAGAGCTCACCTACAAGAACAGCCCACTTTCTCTGATAGTCCTGCAGCAATCGTTTGTTTTTAAGGATCTGGACTTAGTTTCCATCATAAATTTCATAAATGTTCAAAGACAACAACAAAGAGGCACATTAAGTATATTTTTCCATAACCAAGTCTTTAGCATTCTGTCACATCACCCAGGGTTTAGGGGGACTCCCTGGGCTTCCTCCCCAGGGAGCTGAGAGTAAATACTCTTACCCGGTGCGTCCTGTAGAAGGGGTCTAGGTCCTCCAGGGGCTCCCCGATCAGTTCTGCTGGGAGCTCACCATAGAACTTGGGCAGCTGGTTGCAGGCTTTCAAGTCCAGCTGAGGCCGAGGCTTCTCTTCTTCGTCCTTCTGCTTCTGATGTGTCTTTTTGACTTTCTTTGCTGCCTGTTGGGCAGCAATTTGCTTCTCAATTTCCACCAGTGACTCTGGAGTGAACCGACGGAAGTTGGTAGTTTCCGGGGACACAAAGGGGAGTTCCATCTTTTCATTCTTCTTCAGGAAGGATTTATATTCTTATGAGAGTAAACATAACCACAAAGAAGTGTCAGCTTGCCCATTGGCCTTCGATTGCCAGAATAGCATCCCCTACCCTCATATATGCACTTTACCCTGAGCTTACCCAGTTTCCTCTAGGAACCCAACTCCCTCCCCCAACCCGCACCCCCAGTATTCTCAGAGGGTCAGAGTGGCTGTTTATGCACCCTAATCCAGGTGTGTCTTTGCTCCCTGCGAGCTAAGTCATTGCTTCTTCACCACTTTATAATCTCTACTCTGACACACCCATCCCCAACATACATACACACCAGCTTTAACCATTTTGCTGGGTTTCCTCATTTCCAGGACCACTGAGCTCCTGGAATTCACGGAATATTTTGGCTTATGATCTATTTTATCTAAGTCTTATCTTGCTCTTTATTTATTGACATTTTCAATGTTTTTTCCTTTCTTTGAACTTCATTTGGACCTATTTTCCCATGACTAAATAATTTTCTTCATAACCAGGTTACAATTGTGGCCACCATTTTTGACATTTAAATCCCTAGTTAGATCAATCTAGAGCAGTCTAATTCAGGTTTCTTTCAACTTCATCTGTTTCAGGTTGAGCCTGGGTGATGGACATCAGAGCAGTCTGGGAATTTGATTTCATATGATTTCCCTAGTCAGCAGTATCATCTAGTCTGAGATTTCAAATATATTTCATCTTTCTTGACTGTTCCATCCCCTCTTGCAGTAAGCCAATGACCATGTTTCCTAGTTCATGACAAAAAATGAAAATCATGCTACCAAATTGCCAACTTACCTGAATCCACCACTCCTTTCCTCCTGTCACCAAAGGGGAGGTGTCATCCCTCATCATGGCTAAGATCAATCATTTCCTTCCATTTAGCATCCTATCCCCTCCTTACCCCATTTTTCTCTACTTCCTTGTCTCTGGCTCCTTCCTATCAGTAGTTAGAGATTTTTAACTCCTTTTCCACTTTTAAAAATATTTGCTTGATGCCAATTATGGATGGATTACTATCTAGATCATCCCTCCTCCTGTTCTCTGCTGGGTTTTGTAAACAGGGTGTTTACAAAAAAAAAAAAAAAGAGGGTGTTTCCCACCTCTGTCTCTTGACTTCTGCCCACACCTCACTAAAATGCTTCTTTGCAAGGATATAAGAGATCGTTTGTGGCTAAATTCAGAGGACCCGCCTCCGTTCTTGCCTTGATGGTCCTGTTGGCTATTTTAACCATATCCTCCTTGAAATACTCTCTCACCCTGGTGGCTGTGACATCTTGGTTTTCTTACTTGCTGTCTGTCTCCTCTTCCTCATCTTCTCCCACACGTGATTGTGAATTTGGGGCTCTGTGCTATGCTGTTACTGTTTTTCACTAACAATGTCAATGTCACTGATAACAGCTAGCATTTATTAAGATTCCACTATGTTCCAAACTCTGAATTTAGCAATCAGTACACAACATCACATTAACTCTCACTCTGCCCTGAGAGGTGTTATCTCCAGTATATAAATGAAAAACCAGAGCAGTAATGTTAAGTTTTCCAAGATCATATCACTAATAAGTGGCAGAACATTACTTAAATTCTGAACAATCTAGCTAGCATTTATTGCCCTTAACACAGAGAAACTAAAGCAGATACCTTAAAGCAACTGAGGCCAATAGGAAAAGGGGAACAGGTACTAGAGAAAAGGTTAGATCAAAAAGAATTAACCTAGAAGGTAACACCCACGCACAGGAAATCAATGTGAGTCAATGCCCTGTACAGCTATCCTTATCTCAACCAGCAAAAACCCTTGTTCCTTCCTATTATTGCTTATACTCTCTCTATAACAAAATTAGAAATAAGGGCAAAATAGTTTCTGCTGGGTATTGAGGGGGGGAGAGGGAAGGGGCGGAGTGGGTGGTAAGGGAGGGGGTGGGGGCAGGGGGGAGAAATGAACCAAGCCTTATATGCACATATGAATAATAAAAGAAAAATTTAAAAAAAAAATTAAAAAAAAATTCTGAACAATCCCCTGGGATTACCTCATCCAATCCCAGGTGCCATTTACATGGAGATGACCCCTGAGTCTTTATCTCCAGCTGTCATTTGTCCTGGGACCCAAGACCTCACTTGGTATCTCCACTTGAGTGTCTCATGGGTACCTTAACTTAACCTGCCTCAAACTGAGCTCATTATCATCAGCTTGGATTCACTTCTTAGAGTGAGTGCTTATTCTGCTTTGGTCCCAAGCTCAGTCCTGGCTTTTAAAAAAGTCTGTATGAGTATTTGCAGTTATCTTCCCATAAGTCCAGTAGCTGTTCCTGCTAAGCAAGCCTCCTTATTTGGTTCTCTCCCCCTGTGAACAGCCTCAAATGGCCTAGTCTAGGGCCCAGCCACAACCTGAGTATAGCATTATGTTCTTTCTATTTCACGTGAGCTCACTTCAATCAGACATCAATGCTGTTGATTCCTTCTCCTTAGTATTTTCTTCCCATCTTCTTCATTTTACATTTGTTAAACCACTGTTCCAATGGCCACCTATGAGTCCTTTTGCCTCTCCTTTCTAACCCATTCTTTGACAGTAACCAAATGATATTTCTAAAGTGTGAAGTAACACTCAAGATAACACAAACTTGCTCACCTTTCCACCATTGTAGTCACCACCAGTACCACTTTCCTTAGTCTCTTTTTGAATCTGACTCATTTAAGTCTTTCCAGGTCCCATTTCCTTATCCCGTCTTTGCTTTGTCTAGATAATCCTCTCTCATACCATAACTCTTCACTTTGAAACAATATCTTCCACCTCGTGTTAGGATTCCTGTTTCTTGCTTCCATAACATCCTATATTTTCTCCATAGACTTCTGACATGTAATTTCTATTTGCTTTTTCTATTTCTCTTACTAAACTGTAAGCTCAATGAGGGCTGGAAGCACATCATCTGTTCAGCATTAATTCCATGGAGCCTAGCACAGAGCTTGGCACTTAGAATCTATTGGCCTCAATAGACATTTGTTGAATGAGTAGCAGTAACTACAAAGCTCAGAAACTGTAAAAACCACACAACATTTGGCTTAGAAATGTGCAGCAAAGCCACAGATCCAGTCGTAGGAATAGAAGGAACCAATGAAATGATCAAGTGGCTCTAAAAATGTAATTGACAGAGCCAAACCCAAGTGGCAGAGGCAGCACTTGAATCTAGAGCCACTAGAGTGCTTGCTTTCACCAGATGTAGAGACAGTTCTTGAATCCAATTTCTTTGTGATGGAGACCCTGATTTCTGAGCCAAGACTAGAGGCAGCTCTTGTACTCAGTCCCTGTGTATGGAACTCCACTTGTGGGGCCAGTCCTCCCATGCACCATAGTCTTGGAAGGAGATCTCACCCCTCTAATGCTATCCCTCATCTTTAAGCCTTCAGTGATGTTTTCCTGGAAACTCCCTGCTTCCTGCCCTCTCTTTATGGACATTTGTACTTAGTTGCTTTCTTAGGGAACTTTTCAAAGTTAGTCTACATTATAGGATTGAACATCTGCTTTGTATTTCCTTCTAAAAGTTCCATGTCCTGATTAACATGGTGTGTTTATTCAAGGATCATTTGAACACTGCTGGCTGGACTGAATCCAGTCAGTGCCTTTGATTCTTCTCTTGTAACAGTGGCTGCATTGATATCTTCCTTATCTCAATGAGAAGAGCTATTAATATAATGTAACAAAATTGGAGTCCCAGGACTCAGGTATAGAGGAACTACCCAGGGTCCCCCAGTGACACTGGAATGCAATGTTGAGGACTAAAACAGAACCAAGCCAGAATCCCAGGTGCTAGAGCAGGGATTTCCAGTCAAAGCAGTCTCATGAGACTGACTTGATGATCAATTTCATAAGTCTGATAGGCCATCATAAATCTGTCTGGCCAACAGCAAAGCCATTTTCAGAGTGGAGTGAGACTGCAGATTTTGTCATGAGGAGATGTAGGTACAAAGGTCCAATACTTCTCCCAAAATATTCTAATCAGAAGAGAAAATGCAGGACTTGGGATCCCTTGATGAAAGTGGCCTCACTCTTTCCATCTATTGTCCAATGTCTTTACGTAGCATCCCAAGACAAACTTTTGGGTGCAGGTAGTTTATCTAAGAGCTAATTCCAGAAATCTAAGAGAAGAGTAAGACAGGAAGAAGAAAGATAATAGACAGTATTTTTATGAGCATACTCTTGTGGGCAACCAGGGCTCAGAACTGCTGTACTGTATGATAAGGATACTAGGGTTTTATATGTGAGTTCTGCCTCACATTGGTTGAGGGCCACTCCAGGGACAGGATACTCCAGCTACAGAGCTGACAGCAAGATTCAGAGAAAGCCCTAGGCAGAGAGACATGCAAGAAACCAACATGTAAGGGAAGCGCCTACAGGTGACCACTGGGCTGGAGCCCTGGGATGTGAGCAAGCGGCAGAGAATGACGACCTACATTCTGGGCTGTGGTGCAACTGCTTGTAATCCTAATTGGGAATCCTTATTTCTGGGTGCATTTAATGTAGTGAGGAAGGTGTGTCCCTTTGTTAAGTAGCCTTTTGGACCTATGTGTTGTCGGAGCCTGGAATTCATCTCTTGGAGTGATGGCTATTCTGCTTTGGCCTCAAGCTGAGTTCTGACTGTTAAAGAGTCTGTGTATTTGTAGGTATTTTTCCTTCAGTACAGTAGTCGTTCCTGTAAAGCAAGCCTCCTTATTTTGGTGACTATTCAGCTCTCCCAAGATTATCCCACAAGGGTATTTTGTTTCCTTTGTCTTGTTTATACTTTGTGGAGGTACTAGGGTTTGAACTCAGGGCCTCATGCTTGCTAGGCAATCCTGTAGTGTAGCTGTCTACTTCTCATCAGATCTTATCAGCTACCTCTGTTGTTACTGCCAGCCCAATCCACTGTTACCTCTGTGAATACATCTTCATTTGTCTCACTGCTAGCATTTGTCTCAGCCCCCCAACCCCCAACCTGCTTTGCAG